ATTCAACTAAAAGGTCATCGTTCAGTTGGTGGTATCCGAGCATCTCTATACAATGCGGTCACAATCGAAGAAACACAAAAATTAGCAAATCTTATGTTGGAATTTTATGAAAACAATCGAAAATAAAACAATTCCATAGTCTATAGCATATTTAAATGCCTGTTTCATTTATTCATTTTACAATAATTGACGTTTTTTAAAAATCTCATCCAATTCATTTTCAATTTCCTTGTTCGTTCCACGTAGATTGTCGACCACCTTTTTGGCCCATATAAAATATTCTTCACGACGTTGCTGGAAATATCGTACAAAGTAAAATTGAGAATATGTACAGTATGAACAATTAAATATCTTAGACATGAAATTAATGACGCTTACTAAACCATTGTTGAAAATACTACTGCATTTGGAGCATTTTTGCAATGGAAATTTTCATATTGATTATCTCTAACGGATATATTCGAATTTGTATGTTATCCTCTTTTGTATTATAAAAATACGTTTTTGCAAATTTAAAATTTTTTGCAAATGCTTTATTTAGATTTTTTCGAATATTAAATAATATATAGTCGCAAAATTGACCCTAATAATTTGTAAATATACCGACGATATTAAAATGATATTTCATGATTTAATAAAAAATTACTTACCTCTGTCCAGCCATTCGGCAATATTTGCTCTAAATCCCGTAAGTTGTCCAATTTATCAGCTAACTTTACAAGCTTAGCTTTTGTACTCGCATTTGCAGCATGTTCTACCTGTAATTGTTTGCGGACTTGTTTTTCTAAAGTCTTATCATCGGTTACCTCACGTACTATATTGCATATTTCTGTGCCAAAGAGTTCCTTGTATAATAAAAAAACAAGAAGTGTTTAATCTACAAATCTAGTTTTGTATAGAAAAGACAACTTAAACTTGAATTTATCTAAATTTATGTAAATTACCTCAATTTCTCCAAAAGTCGTATCAGTGTCTTCAACGGTATCATGCAACAAAGCTGCCATTAGTACTGATTCGTCATCTATTTTACCCTCCACTGATAAAATTGTGGCAACATTTATAGGATGATTGATGTATGGCGTTTGATATGCATTTTTTCGTCTTTGATCACGATGTTTAAATGCAGCAAATTGTAAGCATTCCATAAATTTATTAGATGGTGGCATTGTTTAAACTTTAACCAGAATAACTTGTAAAAATAATGATTTATTATTTAAAATATACTTTATTTCCACGCAATAATAGTTGGACATTTAAAAAAATTTATAAATTAGTTATATCAAACGAATATTTCCATTTGATGGAGTACTCTATCATTGTGAACGTAGCTTTAAAGTTTTGGATATATACAAAACAAGAATTGGTGCTTTAGTATCCTACTCTTAATAAGGGGATACGATTCATATGACCGTTCGTTAGCTGGACCAATCTCAAAAAAGATATTTTTTTATTTATTGCTTCGATTCTAGGAAAATGTACAATGTGGAGATCGTTTAAAAATCTTTTTGGGAACCATTACAAAACATAAAAAGGTAAATTTTTGGAGGTGTAACAAAAACACTATTAATGATTATACATATCTAGCGAAACTTGTGTGTAGCATTACTTTTAATTGATAGTATTTACCTTTCTTTTACATTGATTCAGTATTTCAAATATTAATTTACTTAAAAAAATTTTAAATAAATTATAATTTGTAGTATAAATATAATCCGTTTTAACCGGTAAAAAAAACAAAAATAGTACGCAGCTGACTAATGTAAACATTCTCATAGTTGATTTTATAGTAGTAAACTAAGTCTACACCCTGAGTAGTATTATATTATTCACTGAGAAATGATAACACATTAATTTATAACGGTTTCTAAAATATTAGGGGCTATAGTTGAAACGAAAAGTCGTCTTTTCGACTTTTTTCATTTAGTTAAAAGTCGACTTCTCGACTTTTTGCATTTTATGAAAAGTCGATTTTTCGACTTTTTTCATTTAATTAAAAGTCGACTTTTAAACTTTTCGACTATAAGTATTTTATAAATAGTCGACTTTTCGACTTTTTCCGACTTTTCGACTTTTTTGACTTTTCGATTTTTTTCGACTTCTTTCGACTTTTAGATTTTTTCGACTTTTTGACGACTATTTTTTGACTTTTTTCGAGTTTTTCCGACTATATTAGAGTTTTTTACTTTTTTCTACTTCTTTAAGATTTTCGACTATTTTTGACTTGTTTCTACAATTTTCGAGTTTTCGACTTATCGACCTTTTTCGACTTTTTCCGACTTTTCGACCTTTTTCGACTTTTTGACTTTTTACGACTTTTCGACTTTCTTCGACTTTTTTCGACTTTTCGACTTTCAGACTTTTCGACTTTTTCGACTTTTATTAACAAAGTCGACTTTTCGACTCTTTTCACAGACCATAGTCGAGTTGTCGACTTTTTTGGAACAAAATAGTCGACTTCGACTTTTCGACTTTTTTCGACAAAAAGTCGATTGTTCGATTATTCGAAAGTCGATTTATAGAAACCTAGTACATATGTATATAGAAACAACAGATAGATATAAAAAAGGGGTTTTCTGACAATTTTTATATGTAGTTTAACAGTAAATTGTTTCAAGTCTATATACAAGTTTAATTTAATTTGATTTATTTCAATATTAAACCTAGCCTATTGGACAGGAGTACAAATTAAAGAAAAATTACTGATTTTCTAAAAAAAAAAAATAAATAGCCCAAATCAAATTTGTAGGTTTAAAATTGTTTATTTTATAAAACTAAATACATACATCCGATTAATAAAATTTTCGACTTTGAGCGGGTAATTAATACAAAAAATGTCACCATCAGCGTTGACAAATAACATTACTCACAAAAATTCAACGAAATGGGGGAAAAGCTTAAAAATGTGGGAGCACTGGAAAAAAAGAACTTGCTACGGTTTTTGTTGATTTCATTTAGTTCTCAAGAAACTCTCATTGGAAATAGACTGTTAGACTTTGCTCTAACAAAACTGTTAAGCATTTATACGCGAGTGTGTTTTATTTAAACTCCAGATTGCATTCCGGCAAAATTACTACAAACTAATTTTGCAAAAAAATCAGCATTTAAATAAAAAAGGTAAAATAGTGTGATTTGTATTAATTTATAGCAATTGTTTTTAATAAATTGATTTAGTGGACTTTATTTTTTAAAAATATTATTTTTTTCTATACATTTACTAAGAAATGCCGCCTAGTAAATGCAAAGGTGAAATCAAAGTCAAAGCTCATACATATGCGTTGCGATTGTTTTTTGCTTTTTGTATTTCCCATTACGATTCTTAGTAAGTAGTAATAAATAAAATAAAAAAGAGGGAGGCAAGCAGGGAGAATTATTGAAAAGCAAAAACGAAGAAAGAGCTAAAGTTTGCAAAAAAACTGTAAAAACCTGTTTATTTATCATCACATCCATTATAATTTAATTCTTAATTTTTTATATTCAGACCTACATACTTATTTATTGATATTTGATGTTTTGTGTTCAGTTTACGATATTTTATTTAATTTTATTCAAGTATCAATACATTGAAACGATTGGTCATATGAATGTCCTTATATTTAAGTTCAAGGTCATATTTAATAACTTTTTAAAGACTGACAAATACCCCCTGCAGATGTACTAAAGTTACTTTTGAAATTAATGACGTATATACATAAATGTGTATTTACGATGTTGTACAAACATATTTCTCACGCAATATTTCGGTGAAAAGTTTTCAGTAAAAAAGCTTTCATCCGCACAAAACATCTTATTCATACATGTTTGTACGTGTGTACTTGCAAATATTATTCACAACTCTTCCATTTCTTTCTGTCGGCTTTTTGTTTTTACCATATTTTCGTTTTAACAGCTGGGTATTCACAGATCATGCGCTGACGTCATGATCATGCGAATTTGTAATCAACCACCAATGTTTACACTACAGACAAACATACATACCTATACCCATAACATTTAATCAATTTGGTGATTTGCTTTTCTGCATTATTTTATATTTCAGTTATAATAGCTTCATTTGTAATACATATAATATTTAATAGGAAATTAGACGAAGAAAAATTGTTAATGTTGCTAAAAAGAAAAATGCAATAAATAGGTAGGTACCTACCTAACAGTATTTTTATATCAATAAATAACATTCCAAAAATTATTTCAAAATAAATTAGGAAAAATAGAAAATTAAGAATTTAATTGTAGGTAGTTTTCCGCTTGTAAAATGAAAAAACAAGTAAGAAGATAATTACATCCGTATGAACCCAATTTCTTGATTCTCACTCCCAAAGATGAGAATTAAGAAATTTGCAAAAAAAAAGCTACTTCCTTTTGTACAAAATGTACTTACTAAAGCTTTATTTTATATCGCACAAACTAACCCTCAACGAATGACTGATGTAGATAGATTTTATTAATATGTACACATCATTATATGAATGTTCTTTCACATACACCTAACGACAAAAAATGCCGATATAAATTAAGTATGTATGTATGTGGGTATAGTAATAAAATATTACAGTAACATAAATCCCTAAAAAAGCACTAGTCTTTGGGTCCTCTTGAATTTATGATGTTTTATAAAAAAATTAATTTTTAATACATTTTTTGTAAATTTAACAAAAATTTAAAAAGGCTTTAAAGTTTTTTTTTTTTCAAAATGTGTAGCAGACCCTGGTATTACATTAGATACCTACATGTTAGAAAGTTTGCATTTTTTGTATATTGGTTTCCGAGATATTAAACATAAAAGTGAATACGATAAATTTATTTAATGACTAGGTATACAAATAAAAGAAACTTACTTAAAAGAATGTATAGGTATAGAGGAAATTTTTCTGTCATTGGTTGTATAAAAGTGCTTTTGGCCAGTATAATTTCGTTTTTCACTCTCGTTAATAATGAGCATTTACACAAAACAACACTACGAAAATATTGAGCCTTTATCATGCGCTCTAGATTTGGTGGTTAGTTGGTTGCAAGCATTAAAAGCCGAATCAATTGTCATTGAATTTTCTCATCGTTTGCATTGCGGAAAGTACCTACGACTTGAGTCTTTTTACTTAATAATTATTTTACAAAAAAAAAAAAAAAACTAAAAAAGTTATCAAAGATAAAATTGTTAAATTTTGTGACAATTGATTTGAAAATTAAAATCGTTATACTCAAATAATTAATTATACATATTTTTAAAAAAAGCGTGAAAATATTATCATTCAACCCAGACAAATCTTCCAATAAAAAATTTTGTCTGGGTTTCGTTCTTTGTACGTCCTTCGAAGGGCAACCAAGTTAAATAAATTTATCTGCGGTTTTAGTTGTCGGTTTGCTGCTCATAGTACAACATCGTCTAACTCTACATATTCACCAAGCAGTTTGCTAATTCAAGGAACAGTATCTCCCATACGCATAGGCAGAATGGTGAACACTACTATTTACGATGAACCTTCCAAGTTAAAGGTATACAAACAGTCATATTACATATTACCCAAAATTAGTTACACAATCACTCAATCCAATGTAAACCGGGTCAGGCAGATGGGCAAATAAATCGATATAGACAAAGTATGAGAATATTATAAAAAATTTCATATCGACTCGAGCCTGAAAAAGCTCAAGTTATGAAGGTCAAGTTTAATGATAATTTTTTCTTATTTCTTGCAAAGTCAAATTATGCAATTTTCTGTTAAATAGAATATTTTGAATGAAAACGGCTAAAAAAGAAAATAGAAAAAATGAGTGAGAAATTGTGCTGACAACTTATGTATTATATTAACCTTCAAATGCATTATTTCGTTCGTTCATTGTTTTGGTTTCGCTAAAATTTCCTCTGCTAAAATTGCAATTTGGTTTTGGTACGAAATTAATTTTAAAACAAATAAATTACAGCTGTTCAAAGAGAATAAAGAAGGAAAATAAATGAGAATATTCATACAGATCCCCGTTACGTATACGTCGTGTAGTTTGCATTTTTTTTTTTTTTTTTTTTTTTTTTTGTCGATTTTGGGATTACTCCGTGCCCCCTTAAAAAAAAACAAGGGATGGGAGATTTACTTGGCTGGTCCAAAGGGATAAAACGCCACCAACAATTTAAATCTAAAGTTCTCTAAAGTTTAATATTAGCCTCCTTAATAAAGTCCGTAATGAAATGATAATTCTCAATAGGTTCCTTCCTGAAAAATGACGTGGTATTATCATACTGCTCTAATACCGGATACCTCAAGCGGATGTGGTTGTATTTGGTACATTCGAATATGATATGTGAGTCGTCGTCAACTTCATTGCACAGAAGGCAAGTGTCATCATCCAAAACATGTAATCTAGCCAAAGTATGTGGACTGAAGGAATGGCCTGAGAGTATTCTGTTCAACTGTCTTATCTGAATAGCATTCATCCCCAAGGAGTTATGGTTGAACCAAGGTTTCCTAAGGAGACTTGGGAATATTTTTCCGAATTCCCGACCTTTCGTACGACTTAGATCAACATATTCTCTCTCCCACTCATCATGTAGTCTCCTTTCGATCTCCCTTATAGCTTCGTCTTTAGACCATTTTATTTGCAATGTCAGGCCATCTTGAGTGGCCTTTTTAGCTTCTTCATCAACACGTTCGTTCTCGAATATTCCCCTATGCGAAGGGATATAATGAAACTCAACAGTGGAAAGTGTAGGGCTGGAATCTATCAAATCATGAATTCTGGAACATGCCGCATTTGAAACACCGTTTTTCAAGGCCAGAACACCACTTTTGCTGTCAGTAAGTATCGCCAATTTCAGAAAGTTCATCTCCTTTGCAAATTCTACCGCCTTTTCCATTATGTGCAATTCCACCGACATGGATGACACTGTTTTCGACAATTTAAATCTCCTTACAGTGTTAGACCTTGGATGAAAGAAGGCTCCACCAGCTTGGTTCTCCATTATGGAACCATCAGTATATACCAGCTCCAAATTCCTGCTCATGATGTCGTTTTTTTTACTGAGAAATATTTGATTCACCTCCTGAGGATTCAGGTTCGCCTTGTTGCTATGATAGAAGTTTTCATATGTTCGCACTTTTCGGGATTCCACTGTAGAAGTACGTATTTGTTCCACGTCCAAGAGTACATTCTTGAATTTATCAAACATCTTGTAATAACTCGTGTCCAAAGGTTTCTCCAAGGTTGGGAGCAATTTTGCCAAAGGCATTTCCAAATGGAATAGTTTCACCAGATCTTTCCCTGCTGCCAGTTGAATTCTATATTTAGGGGGCAATTCGGCCGCTAGATGATATAAGACATGTACCGGGGTGGATTTCATAAGACCCAGGGCCCTTCTAACGTGGAAATTCGATTGAGTCTGAAATTTAGCCAGGGCTCTTCCGGAAAGGTTCGCAAAAGATGACGCAGCATATTCCAATTGTGATCGGGCATAAACTCTATAAAACTGGATGGCCCTTGCCGGATGTATTCCATAAAGGCAACCACTTGTCGTATTCAAAAACCTGCAAGTCCGGTTTATTTTCGATATTGCCTGCGTCACATGAGATAGTGAAGAATTATTCGCCGAGACTATCCTGCCAAGATATTTGATCTCCTTTACTTCCGTTAACATTCTACCATTGAAATTGAGATTAATTTGAGAACTCCTTCTACCAAATGATGTCACCGTGGTCTTGTCGTAGTTTATATTAAGGTCCAATTGTTCACAATCGTAAATGAATTCACCAAATTTGCGTTCCAGGATGTCCAACGCCTCATCCCAAGTTTCATCAAATGCAAGAATGAAAAAATCGTCCGCAAACTGAAAAATATACGTGTTTTCATCCTCTATGTTGTGAAGTGATGCCGTGTACAAATTGAACAGTATTGGGCTCAAGCCGCTGCCCTGAGCCAGTCCACGATTAGTCTTAGTTTTCGCATCGTGAAGATGAAGTGTACGGTCTTGGAGATATGATGTTAGCCACAGTACCAATTTACGATTAAAACCCATCTCCATCAATTTGGCTCCTAAGGTGTTCACGTTCACATGGTCATACGCTTTTTCTATATCAATACAAATCGCCACTACTTTCCGTTTTTCAGTTCTGAGGTATTGAACTGTATTTATCAAATCGTTAATGCATTGCGTCGTGCTCATATTCTTGCGGAAAGCAAAAGACCTTTCGGGTATGATCTTCCTGGAATTTGCGAATTGCTCCATATGTGGTTTCAACATACCCTCTATGCACTTGAGAAGTACTGGCAGAAGACATATCGGTCTATAATCAGTAATATCCACCGAATCTTCACGTTTAGGGATGGGGTGAACTTTTATATGTCTCCAGATATCAGGAATGTTACCAGAGATCCATATTCTGTTGAGCACTGCAAACAATTTCTTCCTGCCGCTATCCGAAAGATTTAAAAGCATTCTGTAAGTTATTCCATCAGCTCCGCCTGCAGAGTCAGGCTTACGAGAACTTAAAAAATCTTCGAAATCACTCAGATTCAAATTGATATCCTCCATTTGCACTAGTGGGTAATCTGATGGCACAAAGTTACTCGAGTCCGTGCAGGAGGTCATGTTATTCAAAAATTGAGTATTTTGCTGAGAGCTCCAGCTGTTATTCACCTTTTTTACTCGGTCATATTTCTTCAGGTTGTTCATCTGTCTCCACATCTTCTCCTGAGTTTCCGGATTAGACAATTCTTCCTGCAGTTTCCTAAAATGCTCGTGTTTCCTCTTCCTAATATGTTTCTGGAAGTTCTCATCCGCCTCAACAGCTATTATATTATTCTGCCATGATTTGTATCTGTCATTTTTCAGCCTGGCCGCATTTCTGATTCTGAAGAGCTTCTCAGATTCTTTATCCCACCAAGCCTTTGCCTTATAATGGTTTTCCCCATTAAGCGTCACAGTGCATGATTGGATAGCCTCCCTGAACTTACAGTTTATGCTCACAATATCATCTTCAATCTCCATTTTCCCTAGAGTATCAATAAGTTTGTTCCGAATTAGTTTACGCCTACTGCCACTGGGTCTGTTGTCAGGCTTCCATTCAAAGTTTATAGGTTTGTGATTGCTTCCCGTAATCCTTAGATCCAAAGTTCTCCATTGTATTAATCTATTGTTACTCCTGACCAGTGTTAAATCAATTGCAGATTCCCCGGATGGTCCTACAAAAGTCTTGGAGCCGTCATTCAGAACTGTGTAACCATAATTTCGTACTAAATTGTCAAGAGAGGCTCCCCTTCTGTCGGTATTCATATTTCCCCAAGAGGTTGACTTGGCGTTGAAGTCGCCACATACAAATGTAGTCAAGCGCGAATCTTCAAAAAAGGCCATGCTCCTCTCCACAATGTCCCCGAAATGTTTCACATTCACATCCGGTGGGCAGTAAATACCAGTAATATTAAAATTAAATGGAAGATTCAAAGTCGATATTGATATTACCTCACCATCCGTGTCAATTCTATTAATCATGAATCTTATATTCTTCCTCAGGTAAATGCCAACGCCTCCATATCCATCATTCCGAAAATTACCAATAAAGTTGTAGTTCAGTAAATTGGTACTTCTATTATCCTTCAACCAGATCTCATATAATACTGCACATTCAATGTTATTCTTCTCCATATATAATTCAATCAGTTCCTTGTTACCTTTCTTCCCCAAACTCTGTATATTATACTGTAAAAATTTCATAATGTACTAGTAATTCTTTGCAATCGCACCACTTGTGGATGCGATTATTTCATCTCTGTCCTTAGTTATTAGCGCTCTGTCTAAAGCTCTTGCAATTTCACCTACGAATCTTCTGTCATTGCTTGAAAGCGAGTCATCTCCCCATTTACTGAAGAATGAGTTCGCCAAGGTTTTTAATTGGGTAGCTAGTCTTTCCACCTCTGTAACCGAGTGGGGGTTTTCAATATCTCTCTTCTCCTGTAATACTATTTGGTTCTCTCTGTTAAGTTGTCTCCATTGATCCATATCTTTTCTTGCTCTCTCTTCCTCTCTAATCCTGTTGGGGTTTGATTTGGTAACTTTCGCAAATGATTGGTTTCTATGTACGTGTCTCGCTGCTTCAATAGAGTTATCAATGATCTTATCCGGTCTGGTGCGTAATTGAGGGAAATTCACCTCAACACCGTCATCACCTAATATTTCAAATCTGTTTCCACCTATGATACCAGCATATTTAGTTCTAGCCTCTCTGATGCTCAAGTTCTCCAGAATCATAATTCTCTTCAGATTCAACGCTTTCTCCCGAGCCGGACAATTGCGGTCGGTGGGTGGGTGCAAGTTCTTACAATTTGTACAAGTTATCATTCCCGTATCACAATCAGAATTCAAAGTGTGTTTAGTAAAGCATTTGCCACATGTCTTCTCCTTCTGCTTACAGTTGTCCGCCATATGGTTAAATTTAAAACAGTTGTAACACTGTCCGAAAGGAATAAAAGGTTTGGTTATCAATTTCGTAAAAGCAAAGTCCATCTCCTTCGGTATGTTCAGTCCTCTAAATACAACCTTTACCTTCATAGTGGCACATCTTTCGTTTCCATTCTTTCTCGTCATTCTTATCAATTTGACTATAGGCACTGGTGATGTTAGCATGGCTGATAATTCCTTCATTGAGATCTCTTCCGGTATATTAAAGACTATTCCCGTTTTCGTCAAAAGGTGGGCAAAGATTCTTGGGGTGTAACCTGCACTCTCCAATTGTTTACTATTCACAAAATTATTTGCTGCCGATCTCGATCTGAACGTCACCTTACATCTACTATAACCTATTTTAATAATGTTGTCTATATCTCCTACCTTGAGATCAAGTAGTTTCTTCGCAAGTCTATACTGATTAATTGGTGTTCTTGGTTCCGCTTTCGCTGTGTCCACGTATACAGTGAAGGGGCCTCTATGATCATCCTCATATACTGTTGGCATGTTCTGCGAGACGAAGACCAGCGGGTCCTCAGTTTCGTCTTCCTCTTCATCTGGAATTGTACTGTCACTTTGTTTTCGCTTTCTATTAGGCATGTGGTTTTCAGCAAATTTTTCAAAATCATTGTTCCTAGCATGAAATGATATGTTCGATTCCCCATTCGCAGTTGTGCTTCCAATTATCAACATTTTCTGAGGGGGTCCTGCCCCCCCTGGTTCCAGACGAGGTGTAACCCCGTCCGGGTCGTCCTCCATAATGTCCACTAAAAAGGCACCGTCAGAAGAGCAAACAGGTAATACCCACAGATGGAGTAGTAGAAAAGATGACTATAATGAAATCGTCCGTTAATGGGATGAAAATACAGTCAAAAATAATAATCAAAAAATCGAATTTCACACGGTATAAAAAAAAACACAAGTTGCGCGTCGGGCGTTCTTACACCGAATCGTAGTTTGCATTTTACTGTTGCATTTGATTCATATATTATTTTATTTGTTTATTTATATGTACATATTATACCTACATTTTTATACTATTTAAATATATGTACGTATTTATATACATATACTCATCTTTAATAGATAAACAAAGCAGCAAATTTAAAAATATAAATAAGAATTAATATTCAATTTCACGTTCAGTTTATTACTAAGTTAAAATTGATACCTATTTCTTAGTAATTAACAGCATTTACAAATTTTAGCTATATTTTTAAACTACAAATTAGGTATACTGATGGAAACTATAAAAAACATATCGCTTAAGACGGACTCAAAAAATTTAATAATTGTTTAACATGATATATACAACTATTATATTATGATTGTTTAACATTCAGTTGTTTTTAAACAGAAAATACCTTTAAGATAAGTACCGCTAATATGTTTCTCATCTAAATTTAAATTAAAACTAACATACATATGTAGCTGTCAATATCCTAATGATAAGTAAAATGTATAAAAAATAGCCTGACTTAAAATAAAAACTATTATCTTATCGAGGATTATGGAGACAATTAAAATGTGAAAAACTTGAAATCTGTAAAAGTTTTTTCGATATAAAATGAATCCCTTGGTTTGTTGTTAATAAATATTAAATGAAAAATTATAAAAAATGTGAAAGAGTATATAAAAACTGAATTTTTGAGTTTTATTGGTAAATATTTAGTTTTATATAGTACTAGCTATACCCAGTTTGCTTTACTATCCCACTATAGCTAGTCCGCCCATATTGTCCCCATATGTTCATGTGGATGTCAAAGTTGTCCATACAAAATTTGAGGACTCTAGCTGTTGCAGTTTCTGAGATATGTGATTTTAAATACTTATTATGTATGTGGGCGTGGCACTTTGCCCACATGAAATTTTAAAATAAAAAGTAGCCTATATTTCCCCATAAATGTTCACATAGATGTTAATGTGCTTCGTGCTAAATTTTAAGATTCCAGCTAAAATAGTTTCCCAAATAAACGATTTTTTGTATTTAATTCAAATATGAAGTTACGTGCCAAAGGGTCTTATTTTACAAAAATATACAATAAACAATTTTATAAAAAAATCGATTGTATATTCTTAATACTAATTTCTGCCTTTTTAATCAGTTTTGTAAACCGATATTTAATTTATTTGCACACGTAGCTCTTTTTAAAGTTGATCGTTTATTTAAAAATAAATAGTTTACACAATCAAATAATAATTTGAAAGCAATCCTAGAAAGCCTTCAAGTGATGATTAAATTGAAAGATTTTTTTAATTTAATTTTACTTAAAAAAATATTTTAAGTGTTATTTCTCTATACTGATTTTACTGTCATGTAAATGCTAAACTGAATATTATAATCTTCAATATTTCCAGAGAGACGAAGTACCTCAAATGATGGCCGCTCAAGCAGAATCTCAGTTGGAGCACATGTGCAAATTGGAGTTTGATGCTCCCGTTTCACAAATCCGTCTATCGGGTATCATCTGCACCATTGGCCCAGCTTCTGTTAGCGTTGAAATGCTCGAAAAAATGATGGCAACTGGCATGAACATTGCACGCATGAACTTCTCTCACGGCTCTCATGAATATCACGCTGAAACCGTGAGAAATGTTCGCCAAGCCGCTAAAAATTACTCTGAAAAAGTTGGCTATGAATACCCAGTAGCTATTGCTTTGGATACCAAGGGTCCTGAGATTCGTACTGGTTTAATTGCCGGTAGTGGAACCGCCGAAATTGAATTGAAGAAAAACGAAGTCATTAAATTGACTACTAACAAGGATTACGCCGACAAGGGTAGCAAGGACATCATCTATGTCGACTATGAAAACATTGTCAAGGTTGTTAAGCCTGGTAATCGCGTCTATGTGGATGATGGTTTGATTTCTTTAGTTGTCAGCGAAGTTTCTGGCGATACATTGACTTGCACAATTGAGAATGGCGGTTCTTTGGGATCCAGAAAGGGTGTCAACTTGCCCGGCGTTCCTGTTGATTTGCCCGCTGTTTCGGAGAAGGACAAGTCTGACTTGAAGTTTGGCGTTGAGCAAGAAGTCGATATGATTTTCGCTTCATTCATTCGCAATGCTGCTGCTATTACCGAAATCCGTGGTGTCTTGGGTGAAAAGGGCAAAAACATTAAGATTATTTCGAAGATTGAAAACCAACAAGGCATGCATAATTTGGATGATATCATTGCCGTCGGTGATGGTATTATGGTTGCTCGTGGTGATTTGGGTATTGAAATTCCCCCAGAAAAAGTATTCTTAGCACAGAAGGCTATCATTGCTCGTTGCAATAGAGCTGGCAAACCCGTCATTTGCGCCACTCAAATGTTGGAATCGATGATTAAGAAACCACGTCCAACTCGCGCTGAAATTTCCGATGTTGCCAATGCCGTTTTGGATGGTGCCGATTGCGTTATGTTGTCTGGTGAAACTGCCAAGGGCGAATACCCATTGGAATGTGTATTAACCATGGCTAAGACCTGCAAAGAAGCCGAAGCTGCTATTTGGCACAAAAACTACTTCGCTGATTTAGTAGCTGCCAACAAATTGAGCACTGTTGATGCTGCTCATGCTGTTGCCATTGCCGCTGTTGAAGCTGCCAACAAATCATTGGCCGCTGCCATTGTTGTCATTACTACTACTGGCAAATCCGCATACCTCATCAGCAAATATCGCCCAAGATGCCCAATTATTGCTGTTACTCGTTTCTCCCAAACCGCTAGACAGTCTCATCTGTACCGTGGTCTAGTACCAATTGTCTACAAAGGTAATACTTATAAAACTCATTTATAACGCATTATTGAAATTATTATATATATTTCGTTTTATTTTTTAGAACCTCCACTATCTGACTGGCTTAAGGATGTTGATGTTCGTGTACAATTTGGTGTACAAGTTGGAAAGAAGAATGGATTCATTAAAACCGGCGATCAAGTTGTAATTGTGACAGGATGGAAACAAGGTGCTGGTTTTACCAACACTATGCGCATTGTGTAAGTGTCAAAATTATTATTAAATATGAATATTGTTTTAATTTTATGCAATTCTTTTTTCACAGTCCTGTTGAATAAGTAAAGCGGAGAGTTTATAAAACATTTACGTCTTACATTGGCTCTGGAAGCTAATGAAAACTCTATTTGATATCTCTGTTGGATCACTATTAATCTGTACCTAATAAATACACACACATAATGCAAACATGAAGATGAGAACCAAAAACTATTCTGCTTCTGCATAATTGTTTAGAAACATTTATGTACGTCATTGGCACAATCTATTCTATACATAACTAAATTATTTTCTCCCCCTCATGTATTCGTAGTCTAATATATTATTGTGTTAATAAACGTTCAGTTAAATTGATAAAATTTGCATGGTATTTTATTCGCATTTAGTTTGAATTGTTTTTATAAATGGTCCACTGCATCATAATCAAAATACATGTTGTTGCAAATTTTTAGTACTCTATTTTCAAAAACTCCGACTTGAAATTAAATTAAAAAGGGCGTAATAACAAATTAATAATTTCTACAAGTCAGAAAGTTCTCAAAAACAACATATTAGACAATGTCTGGCGGAACAGTGGTATTCAAACCTGTTCATTGATGTTGGGATAATACAATACTTGTCATTTTCTTACAAGTTTCCATAACAACAATAGCTTTCATTATACCCTACACCACTATAGTGGGGAGGGTATTATTTTGTTTAGTTTTTTGTCTTTCCTGTAAAATGTTTAGGTGTTGTGAAGCCCTTTTGCATTTCGTAGTACTTTCGAAAATGCATAATGGGCATAAAACATCGAAAAACGTATCAAAAAATAGCTGATGCGGTGTATGAGTAAGTACATATTTATATTTTAGTTTATTTAATGAAATTTATTTTCATTTACACATTTTTAAATCAGAATCTTTTGTCTACGCATTAGCATATTTGCAGACAAATCATTGATTCACTGCAGTGATGCATTTCGGAACAGGACCGTTGTAAAACTAAACGTGACATTTTTATGTGCATTCGGTAGTTGGTGTTCTGGTCTGTTAGATTCCCACCAGAGACAGGCACGATTCTTTGTTTTCATAAACTTTATATGGGACTCAACGCTATTATTTAGGTACGACTATTATTAGTCCTAAATAAAGGTAAAAATATTAGTACTAAAGTTTTGAAAACTTATTTTTTTAATACTACAATAAATTAAATAAAACTATAAAATGGTGTCGAGGTAAATTTGTCGATGCATTTCGAATTGTCATGGAATATAATCATTGTCGACCAGTATTGATATTAAATATAGTATTGAATTTGAAAAACAAATATTAAAAAACTGCTTCATAAAAATTCGTTTTAAAATTAAATTTGAATTTTAATTATAATTTAATTCAAGACTTGAATTAAACTGTAAAATGATCGACTTGAATTCAAGTTGGGAGAACACTGTTGAATTAAAATGTAATACAAGTCTGTTTTAATGCTTGAAATTTGAATGTTAGACTGGAATCATATTCTCATCACTATTATAGACTCGATTACATAAATAATTTGTCTACTTTATGATTAAAACTTTACAATAACATCATTACTTTTTATAAAAAATAAAAATATAACAAAATTTTAAGTAATCATTAAAATTATTAAAAACATTATGGATGATGAAAATTCCTTATTAGAGCATACGTGCAAATTAAATTTTACGGAACCAGCATCACATTACCGTTTAACGGGTGTTATCGGAACTGTGTCTAAAGCTTCTCGCTCTTTACAAGTGCTCAGGAAAATGATAAGAACCGGAATGACCATTGTTCGTTTAAATTTTTCACATGAAACACACGAACTTCACGCAGAAACAATACGATTGCTGCATAATGTAGAAGAAGAATACTCCAAGGAAATGGGCTACACCATTCAGTTAGCTATAGCTCTAGATACAAAGGGTCCAGAAATTAGAACAGGTTTATTAGAAGCTGGTCCAAATTCACAAGTAGAATTAAAAGTCAATGACAGTGTACGTCTATCAATAAATCGTGATCTTATGGACAAAGGAAATCGAGAGTGCATATTTGTGGATTATGAAAACATTATCAACGTAGTTCAACCTGGCAATTTTGTGTACATTAATGATGGATCATTAAAGTTTATCGTAAAAGAGGTTGGAGTTGATTGTGTAACTTGTCAAGTTGAACGTGGTGGTATGTTGGGCTCCAGAAAAAAGATCAATCTTCCCGGTGTGTCTGTTGATCTGCCGGCTGTATCCAAAAAAGATGTCAATGATTTGAAATTTGCTCTTGAACATAAAATTGACTTTATTTTTGCTTCATCTATGCGAAATGCTTCGGCTGTAAAAGAGGTTCGTTCTTTGTTGGGAGATCAAGGGAAATATGTAAAAATAATAGCAAAAATCGATTGCGAACAGGGCTTACATAATGTGGATGAAATCATTTCAGTTGCAGACGGCATCCTTTTTGCAAGCGCTGATATTGCGATAGAAATAAACAATGCCAAAGTGTTCTTGGCACAAAAGGCAGTAATGGCGCGTTGCAACAGAGCAGGAAAACCTGTTATAGTAGCAACAAAGCTATTAGAATCTATGCGATACTCAATTTTTCCCACTAAAGCAGAATTCTCTGATTTAGGTAATGCTATTTTAGACGGTGCAGATTGCGTTATGCTTTCAAGCGAAACTGCCATAGGACAATTTCCCTCAGAATCTATAGCATATATGTGTGATATATGTCGGGAAGCCGAACTCGCTCTATGGAATAGACATATGTTTGAGGATCTTTTGCTTAGAAATCCGACAAGTTTAGATGCGGCACACTCTATGGCTATAGCAGCAGTCGATGCTGCAAAAAAGTCCTCAGCCTGTGCTATTGTAGTTTTGACTGCATCAGGAAAATCGTCATACTTATTAGCTAAATATCGACCAGGATGTCCTATATTAGCTGTGACAAAATGCCCAAGGACATTTAGGCAATCTCACCTTTATCGTGGAGTTATTCCAGTAATGTATACAGGTAAAAGTACAAAAGAACTATTTTAGCTTTTAATGAAGCCATTAGTAAACCTATAACTCCACTATTTACTGGTTCGCTACTATATATTTTTTTATTGAATTATTATTTACATGCATAAATATGTACAAATGTGTAGTAATAAATTACCCAACAGTTCGGTCGGGCAGACCCGAACTACCCATTTAACCCACCACTTAGGGTTACCCCTACCCACCAACTGTCCAGGTGAATAGTTGTTTTAACATGTGCTTGTCCTACGAGGAAGTCAATCGTCACCCCATATATTACGAAAAGACAAAGTGAACTTTAGTGTCCCTAGTGTGGCTAGGGTAACACTAAGTGGTAGGTTAAATAGGTTGTTCGGGACTGCCCGACCGAACTACTGGGTATGTTTTACTTATCTATTCAGTAATGATCATTAATCATAATAATTTGAAAATAGATTATGATTCTTTGTAATGAATAATAATTACTGATCAGAAAATTTCTCCTAAAGAATTATTTAGTCATTAAAACTATTTGAAAAATCTAATTGATTACCAATCGTAATCCAAATTTAACCGCTATAACTATACTTAATACAAGTAGTCTTGAAATTTTTTATAGAAATTACACAAAAAAGATGGTTGAATGAAGTAGATGCCAGAGTTCAATTTTGCATGAACGTTGCTAATCGTATGAATATTATAAAAAGTGGCGATTCAGTTGTGATACTTTCGCCTTGGAAGAATGATGGAGGATTTACAAATACAATGCGCTTAGTTTATGCATTTTTTGAGCAAGAAGATATAGATGGTATGTGCAAAACTGACCGGAAATCTACGAAAAAGTTGAAAGTGTAATTCTCTTTTTTAAATTAAAGTTAAAAATGTATATTTTGATAATATATATATCATAATGGTGTTTTTATGATGTAAATTTTTAAAGAATTTAATATTTAATAATTAAGACATATATCGAATTAACCAATACGAGTTAAAATAACAATGAGAAATCTTTTAACTTAAGGCTTCATAATGATGGGCCTCATTAACTTGTTGGTGGGTATCGGACTGGTGATTTGAAGCGACATGTGTGACTGGTTGATTTATAATATAACTTCCACTACTGCTCTCTTGTGAAACAACAACGGTGGAACTAGGGTTTTGGGCATTATTAGCCTGCTCATTCTCCGTTAGAGCTCGCAGCTCCAATTCACATATCAACTGAGAAACTCTCATCTTTGTTTCAGCAATTAATTTTGGCGAAAGAGCCTTTACACTTGAACTTACGCTCTCAAAAAACAAGTCAACGTGATTTTTTTCTCTGGGAGGCGAGAGATGTGGCGCAGAACCACCCATTAGTTCTTTGAATGAATCCATTAATTCACTCTTGTCCCTTTGAATTTGCATCAAACGTTTCATAGGATCTTTTCTATCTACAACTTCGTCTACGCCATGGACACTACTATTTTCTATTGTTTTGGCGACTTTACGTGGGCGGCCAACATTATTTTTCGTTGCTGAACGTGCCACGATCATATGATGATTCATTTCATCTACAGTTATTGCTTCCTGTTTGCAAATGCTTTCTTCGTGAGTATACTGATCTTCTGAGTTTGTGTCCGTTTGCTCAAATCCGTATTCAGTCCCCTGGTCCGCTCTGTAATTAATTAAACGAGACATTTTCAGATAGTCAAATCATCATACAAAAATCGATTTTGCAAATATACTTACTCATCAATGTAATCCTCCATTCCCATTTCAGAATCTTCCTGCGAGCCGACCGATGAACTAATCTTTTTGCGCTGTTGGTAGTACTTACTGCGCTCTTGACGTATACTAAGGTTTTGACGCGCCGCCCCTTCCCCCTTATTTACTAAAATTTCGAGATTACGTGCATGTTTACTGGTCCTTTCATGTCTCTGCAAATGACATCTATTACAGTCCAGCCGACACTGGCAAGCTCGACAAAATGGTTTATTTGGATCATCTTCGCAACGTGACAGCCATGGCGAGAATATGCTCAACCATTTCTCACAAAACTTTTGCGAGTACTTCACCTTACTCGATGAAGTATTGTGATGATCTTTAACGGTTCCCGGTTCAGTTTTCAATTTTGTTACTTTCCTAAACCGAAAAAGATTTTTGACAAAATAGTAGGTTTTCTTATTTAACAAAAGTAGTAGAATATTAATGGCCGAATGCAATGCTGTTTGTTGCCATTCGTATATCAATACATTCTTGATTGGCCGCGCCATTTTTATTTGCTCGCCCAAACTTACCATTCTGGATCATGGGGATCGCTGTGGAAACTTAATTTATTCATTATATTAAAATAATATATATTACTATTAAAATTATATGAAGAAAAATCTATGATGTCGACTTTGTATATTTACAAATAGTACTAAATTGTTCCGAAAAGTAGTTATTAGATCTCTGCGCAGACAAATGTTAACTACGGCGGCGAATGACACTATAAATTTCGGCGGCGGATTATTTTTTAGCAGTGTTTTTAAATTTTCATCGACATTAAATTAAAATTGATTTTGAGAGATTAAAAAGTGGAATTTTGGACGCGTATAAATTATTTATTTATTTATTCAAACAAAGTAATATAATAGCCTTCATAGGCCAATTAAACTATATTACAGAGGCAAATCCTGAATAGCATACATATGAAAAACAAAAAAAAAATAATACTATTAAAAGTCGGAATTTTTTTAAATTGACTACATAAATATAAATCCGTACTTAATTTAAAATGAGACGAACCGCAATAATTTGCAGAACGCCAAGTATTTATTCGATTTTAAACACGTTTCAAAACGATTCGACTAGTTAATGCTGCAGTTAATGTTGAAGAATGGAATTGTACCATTTTTATGGATTCTCATTTATTCAGTTTAATATTATAGCCCAAGGTTCAATATTTAATTTTAATTTAATTTATTTATTTCCAAAATAAACCTAGCCTATTGGCCATAATCGGTTACAATTTTCTACTTAAAAAAAAATTTACAAAAAAACTCTAAAATATTTGAAATTTGTTTTGAAGTACAAAAATAATTTGTAACAATTTTTTGTTATTGAAGTTCAATAATTGAACAGACATTATGACAAAAAATTTCAAGCCGTCTTAAGCAGCAAAATTTTCGGCGTCGGTGGTTTTGAAACCTTTTCGGCGGTCTAAAGTCTCTGGAATTATCGACAATGCCAACGCTGTCAAATAATATCACGTTGGTAACGCTAAAGTTATTATACAAAATTTGTAAATCATAACACAAAATATGTCTGTGATAACAAGTAATAACAGCCTATCTCTAAAATTATACATACGAGAAAAATTTCATTTAAAAACTCATATAAGATATGACGACATACAAAACTGAATTTATATGAAAATAACGAAATAACGAACACCGTCTCCGATAAAATTCACTTTTATATATCGAAATTATTTAAATATGTATCGATAATATTGATATGATGTTTTTTACTTGACAATAATAAAAGTGGACCTGTTCGGAAACGCACCACTGCGCTGCACCGGATGTGTAGAAATGCAACACAAAAGTACATACATATGTATATGATTCCAAAAAACAGTAAAAAGCGCTTTATGAAATGATGCGATAAATAAGTAATTATTAAAATTTTAATTTATTTTATAAACTTAATTTTTATCTAGTAATTTTTAATGCAATCCTTTTGTCTATCATAAAGTCTGCATCAGCATCGCCAACTAATCATCAGATGCAGTGATGAATTTCTCTTAGATAAATTTTATTACGTACATTAGACCGACTCACAAAAATATACGTTAGTATGTAAAATGATGTTATTCAAAATATTTATTTTTAAATTTTTTATTTTAGGTTTAGTGTTGTCCGTCCGTGAGCTGATCCCGATTTTACACGTTTTATTCAAAATTGTACTCAGTTTCAAAAATCCTTTTTGTTTTATAATTTTCCCAAAATATTTAGTCTATCGATGGGTTTTTGTAAGCTGTATCAGTTACAAAGAAGGATCTTTTAAGTTATTTTTTGTTTAAATTTACCGTTTTTCTTAAACAAAAATATCATTTGAAGGGTCTTTTGATCCGCGTCTAACGTTACACAAAAGTTGCTAAATCATTTTGCATTTTTTTATTTTAATAAAAACATTACAGTCAAGTTTTTTGGGATATGACTCTTAATGATATCCTATATTGAATACACAGTTCAAAAAAACACTAACATTACTAAAACAAAGCATGAAAAATTATGAGAGGGTAACAAAAAACGATTTTGCTTTCCATACAGAGTGAGCCGGTCTAACGTACATACATACACACTTTATTTCAATGTTATAATGTATATCTGATTGTAACAAAGTTAAAAACTAAGAAAAACTACTCTTGTATTTTTGGTTGATATGCATAAACGTAGTGAGTAACGCCATCAACGGTCTGCTGTTCATTGTGATCACTATTTACAGATGGATCAACGGTGACTACACTTGCCACTTGAGTGGGTATAGTAACAATCGTTTGTTGTTGTGCTTTGTCTTGGGCTTCTTGTTCGCATATGGCTCGAAGTTCAAATTCGGCAATAACTTGTGAGACTTTACTTTTAACTTCTGCCGCTAATTTCGGTGGCAGATTTTTAACAGTCGCACTAATTGAATCGAAAAAAAGATCGAAACTGTCCTTTTTGGGCGGGGAGGGTGCTGAATAATAATAGTCTCCCCGTCTATCGTATTCCATGCTTTTAAAATGGGCGTGTGAATTCTGTGGAGATCTTTCAACTGTTGTTTGTTGTGACGGAGATGATCGTCTGGGTTCACTTTTTACTGTTGCACGTTTCTTTGGAGGAGTTTTGGTGTTATACTTTGTTTTTACCAAAACCGGACTAATTACAGACGAGGGTCTCGTTGGCTCCACCTTGATTGTTGTATATTCTTCATCCAATTCTTCCAGCATTTCCTCAACTTGACTGAAAACGAAAGAAAAGAAAATAAAATCAAAGATTTAAATAAAATGATGTAGTATGTCAAACCCACTAGTCTTGATTGGGATCATTGTCCAAATATCCAGATGTGTGAGCCTCAATTAGATCCGCTTCCGGTTCATTAACCGTAAACACATTTTCAAACCCTTGCAAACGCATATGCTTAAACGATCTTTGGTGTCGTTCTAAATGACTTTTTTTGCACACCAACTCCCTTCGGCAAATACTACAATATCCGATTGATTCATCGGCACGATTTGGTCTCAGCCAAGGAAATTCAAGTTGCCATCGGGGACAAAACTTTTGCCTCGGTTGGCGCAATTCTCCCAATGTTTTATGTACTCTTTTTTTTGGTTTTGGTTCATCGCTGTTGTTTCCGCTGTTATTACTTATGGGGTTTGTACTAAAAGGGATAGAATTTGTCTGGTGACGTCTTGCGAGATATTTTATTTATATCGTACAAACCTGATGTTTTGTTCAAGCTCTTCTATCAATTCGTGGTCATCATATGTCATTTCATGCTCTTCATCGGCCATTCTTGGAATATATTATTTTGAATTATATGTCAGTATGTTAGATTTCAAAATATAAATAATTTAAGGGAAAAGGCTAAAAACAAGGCCTTTTTTGTGAAAATTTTGTTTCGCGTACACAAACGAAATTTACAAGGTTGCCAGAAACAAACAACGAAATATTCAAAACAGTGCTGACAACTCAAAACGAATTGATTCGCGTTTTTAGTTTTTACAGAATGATAAATATGCGAAAAGCAGTGCATTAACATGAAGGAAAAATACTGAGAATAGTTTTCCATAAAGTTAAAAATCGTAAATCCGTTTTTTTATAATTATTATATATTTTTTTACTTAGGGCACAAATAAACATTGTGAAGCGATATGAAAAGTGTGGCATCGCTGTTTTTTGACAACATTGGCTTCGTAATAGCTGATAAGTACTTTCAATAGAGAAAAAACCAAGTACTTTACTTAGTACTATTAGGAAGTTGTTTTTTGGAAATAAAAAGTATAAACAAAACAATTAAATTATAACAAATAATTTGTAACAATAAAATGAGCATCGATGAAAATTCAAATGATTCAAATTGGTAAGTCCCTAAAGAACTGGTAAAAAATATTCACAACACCAACTATAAAAAGTGCAAGCAAGTAAATGGTGTGAATAATGGCAAAGAATATTAATTTTTGTGTTTACGGGTAGATACTACATGGATTGTACTCGCAAATGAGTAAATCGACATTAAATTGTCCTATTAAAACCTATTTCAATAATTTTATATTTTTATTGTAGGAATATAATACCTTTGAAAAAGGAAAACGAGAGTGATGTAGAAAAGATAAAACCAGTGGTTAAACCAAAGGAAAATAGGAAATTTTGTGAAAAATGGCTGAGTTTATTTTCACCATGGCTGTCGCGGTGTGAAGATGATCCTAATAGGCCATATTGCAGAGCATGCCAGCGTCCGTTGGATAATAATAGATTTCGGCTGCAAAGGCACGAAAGAACTGCAAAACATGCCAGAAATCAGGAAATTTTGCTAAACCAAGGCGAGGATGCTGTCCGCTTACTTCTCACTAAAACTAGAAGGCGATGTAAATTTTAATTTTTAAATTATATTAAATTCTAGGCACGATTGATTTTTTCATACTTTTAAATTTACAGATATAAAAAAAGAGGCTCCTATGAAATTGTACCCATTGGATATTGAACGCACTAGTTTCGAGAACGAAATACCTTTTAAAAAGATCAAGACTCAAAAGCTATTAAGGACACCAACAGCAGTTAAAAATGGAAACGATTCAAATTATGTATACCCAAAGCGAGAATGTCATGATATGAGCGATTATTATTATACTCCACATAATTCACGACCGCCTCCGCCTAAAAAGGACAGCTTCGATATGTTTTTCGAAGCGATAAGTGCTACTGTGAAAAATTTACCACCCAAACTAGCGGCTGAAGTCAAAAGTCGAGTTTCACAAGTTATTGCCGAATTTGAACTGCGAGCAATTTGCGAGAAGGAGGCTCGAGAGAAAGCCCAACAGTCTGTTGTAGCTATGGCTCCGCAAGTAGCAAATGTAGTTACGATAGATCCAGTAATTACTGCAGAGCCCAATAGCGTTAATGTAAGTACAGGAAATCAGCAAACCACTCATTGCACACCCACAGTGACCCAGTACGTCTACGCGTATCAACAAAAAAAGGAAATCAATTAGTCCCATACTCTTAAACATACAAACATCTATGAATGTATATTTTTAAGGAATCAAGAACATATTTGCATAAAGTGATAATCCATTGCAAACCAGATAGCACTTTGATTTGGCATCTCCAATTTAAATTTTAATAAAGTTATTATGTATTTCATCTAAAAATTGTAATAAAAAAATAAATATGATAATACCTATACCTCTGTTACAGAATTCAGTTCGGTTTAAAAGTGGAAAATCGTTTCTTTAAAAGAAAATCAAACTTTTGAATGAAACAATGAATTCTATTTTGAATTAATTCCCTTAGATTTTTAATTTGGCTTGAAATTTTCCAATGTACCATTCTTTGTGAATTTTATTTTTTGAATTTTAATTCTAAAGCTTAATGAAAATGTTTTGATTCAACACTTTTAAATTCAATTTGTAATTTGGAAATATTCAAACATAATTTTTATAATTTAGAGGCAATTTAAAAATCAATAGTAATGGTTCAAACAGGATGCACTATTATTATATCATATGTTGAAATTTATTTTAATTCATTTTGGAACAATTTGACTGCAAACAAAATAAATTCAACTACATCAGAAGCATTAAGAATTAGTTATAGGAATTAAAACTCAGGGAATGAATTTGAAGAATTGTTAATTCTTTAAAATATAACTCAATTTTAAAAAACTAAGTAGGGAATGAATTTTTTCAGCTTTGATTTTCAATGAGGAATTTCTATGTGTAATTGATATTTGTTTATAATTGTTTGGTTTTTAAATACAAAATTAGAAAACAGTAACCCTACAAGCAAGAACATACGAATATGATATGAATTTGTATTGCTTAGAAGAAAAAATTTATTGCTCTCTCTTCGGGAGAGTTTGTGCGGCTAGGGCGATACTTCTAAGCAATGCGAAAGAAATAATCCTAGAAGACAAAAAAGAGATATTGCTAGATAATCATCAGGGCGAAAATAAGTACGTATATTAATATATTATTCTAAGAACGTATATTAATATATTATTCTGATCGATATTTGTATGTATATTAGACCGTTTCTGTATGTTTACTTCTCAAAATTTACTTTGTATTATGTTGACACCCAAAATATTTTAAGTCTAGCGATGACCGTTATATATGACGTTATAAATATGAGCTGGACTCATATTTTTAAAAAGTTTTGAATATCTATTATATTATTTAGAGGCCTTTCCAATTCCACAAAATAATTTATTTGAAGTTATTCTTATGTTGAAAATCTTCATGTTTGTAAAAAATTGTTACCTTTTTCGGAAATAAAGCAGAAATGAGATATATTTAAATTAGATCAAGCCAATTAATTTAATTCCAGTTTTTAAATTAAAACTTTCATAATTTCTCAATTATTCAACTAATATTTTTTAAATGCACACTTTCTAAATAAGAATAACTATCACAGTATCAATAAATCTAATCTGAATCATCATATGTAAATAAAATTCACCACAATTCTGCTACATACGACCGACATACGTTCCGACAATTGGATGTTCGCTCCGGAACGACCCGAGTAATACTCGGCCAAGGATTGTCAACCCAGCGACAGCTGTATCAACCAAAAGCTTTTTCCCCAGGAAAAAACCATCGGCCACAGTCGAACTGTTACAACCACCGACATATTAAAACATAAAATATTGATTAAGATGTGATCATCTAGACTCCCACCTTACTGAAAGATATTGCTTTATTTTAATAAAAAAACCTCATCAATTGCTGTTCTGAAAAAATTCTAGAAATATTTTATATATTAATGGAAATATTAGATCTCGATATTTTGAATACAAACCATATGAAAACATGTCGTGTAAACGGAGCATTATCCTCGAAAATTTTGCGTATGAAAATTAAGAATATTGAAAATATCTGGTAACACTCTCTCGTCGCAATATGTCAACATTAACCCTTTGTAGGCAAAGACTTCTTATCACCAACATTTTCATCTTATCACCAAGTTTCATGTTTTTGACAAAACCTGAAGGATCCTTTGTTAACAGAAGTTGATTTAGGTCGCTGGACGTTATTTGTTAAAATATTTTTGAAACAGATTGTGATTTATTATCATGTATTACGTAGCGCATTAATATAAGCACTGGTAAGTACCGTCGGTCGATTAAGGGTTAAAGTAGCGGCATTTTTTCTCAAACGATAAAGCGATTTTATTTCTTGTAAGTTTTGTAAATTGTGGAATAAAACAGGAGGGAAATGTGTTTTTAATCATTGTATCCCTATCGAAAGGAAAAAATAAAAGTTGAAATCTAAACGTATTTATATTTGTAAAAATGTAAGTAAAAAAAATTGAGAAAAATGTTAAAAGAAAATACTAAGGGCATAATTTCTTAAAGGGAAATGAACAAACCAACAGCACCAATCATCACAGTGATCCATACTGGCAACTCAAATTTAAATAGAAATGATACGGGTGAGATGGAAGTCATCGAAGGAAATGACCGGCAACAAAAGTCAATGGAATGCATAGACGAAACTACTGAAGAATCAAATAAAGAAAAACAGAAGGATGACGATCAGGAATCGGTCATAATTGAAGAGATGGAAAATAATACAATTGAAGTTGAAGAAGATTCTGGTGAAGAAGAAGATGGAGAAAGGGTTGAATTAAATAATACTGCCAACGAGTCTTTTACCAAAGCAACAGAGTTTGTAATTGTAAACGCAGCAAAAGTGTTGGCGGCTGAGGTCGCAGATGAAGCCGAATCAACAAATAAATATCCGATAGAAGATGTTCATATTAAAGATGAATTGGCTGAAGCGATTACGGCTGATTTAAATACCAATGATGTGTTAGAAAATGATCCTATGGATTTATTGGAAATAAATACACGCAGTGAATGTACGAGTAGTATCAGATCACAAGATGACACAGAGGATTATGGTGATGATGTAAGTTCAGCGGGATCATCGTCGGCTCAGACTGCATCGAGTTCGTTGAGTGTACTTGATTGGGTTAGAGATTATCCCTGGTTGCTGTACGAGGAAGGATGTGAACAGTTTGGTCACTGCTTATATTGCGATACTAAAATTAACATTAAATCTCAGAGATCCGTCAAACAGCATGGTTTGTCTCTGTATCATAAAGAACGTTGTGAGAATTATTTAGCCTTTCAGGATGAGGAAGAGAAAAATGGTCTAAGGTAGGTAACGGGAATGCTCATGGTCATTAATATTGGCAAACAATTAAAATTTGTAAATATTTGCTGAGGAATACGCTTCAATACTAAAAAATCGGATTTTGAGCATATAGGTTGTTATTTTTATACTGTTTTATTTTAGCATGCAATTAGTTGAAATTAAGGAAGAATTTGGCACTGATAGTCGCGTTGAAGCACTAAAACTGAAACGCAAATCGCAAAGTGCAGCACTCAATAATTTTAACTGGCGTCGATGGTTAATGGATTATCCTTGGTTGGAACGAGACTCAGCTGAGGGTACCGTTGGCTATTGCAGATACTGTCTTATACATGTTAATGTTGAGTTTTCATATTTGAGAGACCGTCATCAAGAAGGTTCTAAACATAAGGAGGCTGAAAAGCAATACGAAGAATCCAACAAATCTAATGAGTACAATCAACAAGATGATGTCTCCAATGTTATTGAAGAAACCCCAAAAGAATCTACGGCTGATGTTCAACAAAAAAGGTACATACTATATGTTTAGGAACTATTATTGTATATTGATCAATTTGTATGAATTCCCAGTCACAAATGGCTAGAGCACGTAAAAAATGAGCCCACAATGGTACGTTGCAAACTGTGTAGTAACAAAATGGTGAAAAATAATTTTTTAAGACATTTACGTACCAATCTTCACGAAAACAATGAAAAGCTCTATCTAGAAAGTCAGAAGACTGCAAAATCAAAAGAATTAGATCAGAGGACTGGTAAATATCAACCGGATTGGAAATTATATGCAAAAAATCATCCATGGTTAGTGCCAGACCCTACAGATCCATCGTTTGCATATTGTAAATATTGTGATAAGCGAATTATCTATGGTTCCTCTGCGGCCAAAAGAGCAGTGCATGAGAACAGCTCACAACATAAACTCCACGAAAGTGAATTTAAGAAGCCACCACGTAGGGATCACGGTGAGAACCAAAATGACAAGGAATCTGAGCGGAAAGGTGATGAGGATCAATCTGAAAGAAACGGAGAAGAAGAAGACGAGGAGGAGGAAGAAGAACAAGATCAGAATGAGGATAACGACGAGGAAGATAATGAAGAGGAAGTAGAAGAGGAAACCAATGATGACGAAGGTGAAGAGGAGGAGGAAGAGGAAGCTGACGAAGAAGATGAAAGTCAACAAGCTAAAGAAAGTACAGATGAGAACGACTCTAAGTAAGATTATATTTATATTGTAAAAATTAAAGATTGCTAATAATAAATTTGTTCATATTGCAGAAAACGTATCTACAGATTAACAGAGGAATGGATAAATCAGTATTCATGGTGTAAAAGATACAATAAAGATCCGACAAATTATTTCTTCTGCATTTATTGCAGGATACCTTTACGTGCTAAATCTTCACGATCGAAACATCAAACAACATCCATTCACATATCAGCAGAAAAAGAATATTTAAGTCGGCAAGTTAAAAGGTTCATATTCAAAATTTTTACTGTAAAGCGGTCTTGACTAGTAATAATAAAAATATTTTTTTAGGCAAAAATTTCAAGAAAAGAAGCAAGGCAGTGAAAATCCAACTTTCTATGAATGGGCCATTCCATTAAGAAATAATCCGAATAACTACTCTTGTCGTTATTGCCGAGTGCGTATATCGAAGAATTATAGTAAAAAACAACATGCATCCAGTAAAATTCATCAGATTAATGAAAGCATTTACAAGAATAATAGGTATTTTTATATTTTTTACAAATACATATACATCGAACAAATATTGAACATACAATGAATGATATAATCTACAAATGTGGAGATTCCGTCCAAATATTTCATTGTTATTTTGATTACACATACATACATACAAACATTGTAAAACTAATTATTCGACTTTTTCACGTAAACTATCTTACAGGAGGAAATCTTTGAGGAGAGACGAAAATAGCAATAGCTCTCAACAGACCAAGGTTGTAACAAAACTGACAAATGTTGCAGCAACAAAAAAAGGACAAACATTTGCCAAGGTTGTAATAAAAGCTCCTTCAACTGTTACACTTATTAAACAATGGCAAAAGAAATTTCCCTGGTTGACTTATAAACGAAGCGAATTGCGATCTAATTACGGTCATTGCAAAATGTGCGAAAGTTCGCTGTTTATACGATCCCTGAAACATGTCTTACGACATGTACGTTCGCCGAAACACGTAAATATGACAAAGGCAAAGAAGAAGGAAAAGCTTGAAAAAGAACAAGAAGAGACTCGCGACAACGACACATCTGCCAAAATAGATAAAAAGGGACCAAAAGAAGAATTACAGTCATCTCCGCCTCCAAATGAAATTTCATCACAAAATCAAACAGCACAGTCGACATCGGCAATAACCGAATCTCCAAAAGCCTTCAACTACAAATCGACCATTGCAGAGTTGAAGAAACGATTTTCATGGATAGAAAAGTCAGAAAGTCCAAATTATGCTTATTGTCGCTTCTGCAATACCAACATTCCTATAAAGATTTTATTCCTCCGAAATCACAGCAACTCCCTTAAACACCGTCATAGTGTTGTCAATTACAATACCATTGGCGGGAAAAAAGCCAACAGGGAAACTCAGGGACAAAGTAATGCAGAATCAGATAACGAGAATGATAAAGGCGACAATGCCAATGATATGGATGACGATGTCATGATAGTTGAGGAGAATAATGAAGAAATTCTTATATCAGAGCAAGATGAAAATTGGGCTGTTAAGTAAGTCTAATATTTTATAAAATTATGTATAATCAAAAGACAATTAATTGTACAGGGTGGACCTTTTAAAAAATTCATAATTTTTTTTTTAACCTTAAATATTTTCAGGTCGGAAACAATGGACGAACATGAAGAGTTGGACTATCTTTTGCAACGGTCCTTTAACAACAGCCAAAATAAATCCAATGCGCAGCGTAATGTTCGCAAAAATATTGGTGCTGTTGATGAAAATCCACCAACCAAACGTATTAAACGATCACAATCGTTTAGACGTTTTAATGATAGTAATACTTCTCTGGTGGCAAGTCTTTTAACGACTCCTTTAACATTGGCATCATGTTTGGGTCCCCTTATTCAGCAGCAGATTCAACAAGCTAATAGTACGCAAACACCACTTTCAACGGCGGCTGCGCCAGAAATACAAAAAGCATCTTCCGTACCCCAGAATGAATCGGCAAACACATTTGATTTATTTTTCAAAAGCATTAGTGAAACTATGAAAAAGTTGCCTATCGACTTAGCGGCTGAAGGAAAATTGCGTGTAATGCAAATAATATGCGATTTAGAATTACAAGCCCTTAAAAGACAACAAAGCAGCGTGCCAAATGAATCTTCGTCTAGTAATACCAGTGGTGGTGCAATAAGTCTTGCAACATCTACATCAACAAGCGTGCTACCTGCGCTTAACAGTAGTGCTATTCATGATCCCACTACAGAGCAAAATGGTAACAGCAATGAAACTATTATAACACAGTTAAATGCAGGCGCAGATGTATCACCAACTTCGGCTATCAACCTTCTTCCTACGACATCTATAAATCCACCCATTGTGGAAAAACCCCTCGCATCAACTGATACTTCACCCATTATTGGTGTTATGGATAAGAATGGGCTACAAACTATACAATTAAAGACATCAGTGGCAAAACAAATACCTAGGAGTTCATCCACTACTACCGTAACTAGTGTTGCTAATTCTGGCATACGATGTATACCATTCAAGAACCTCTCTCAAGCAACGACACCAGATACAAACAATACAAAAATAACACGTATTCAAGTTCCCTTAAATGTGGCAGGTCAAGCTTCAAATCCAAATGCCAATACGGTAAACAATTCAAAAAATTTACTAAATTTCCGTAATATCCAAATTACAAAGAGAATTGCCACTCCGCCAGCCTCAGCCTCAGCACCAACAGCAACTAGTATCAGTGGTCAACCACTTCAACAAACTGTCTCAAAACCAACTACAGTGGTTAATAAAAGTCCTCAAAGGACTTATATAACAAATATACAACCTCAAATGCAGCGTTGGAGTTGTTCGGTGAATGGTGCCACAACATCCCATCACACACCTACATCGTCTGCTGTCAACCACCTACAGCAATTATCATCTCAACAAACATCTACTCCAATTTCCAAAAAGCATTAATTTTTTTACAATTTTGATATCTACAAAATGTTTTTTACATCTTTGTTTATGGAAACAGTGAGTGTCGAAATAAAACCTACTATATGTCACTGTATACAAGTTCAGAGCTGTGAAACAGTAAAAGTTCGCTAAACCGTTATTTATTTTTTGTGTGTTGTGATGGTTTTACCCAAAACGAATGTACTAGTAATTAAAAAATATGCAAATTTGAAAATACTTAATAATATTTGGAGAAATTGAGGAAACACATTTGGTATTACTAGTTTTTATAAAATTTATATTTTTTTCAAATTGTTGTAACAAGGAATTATTTTCATTTCTGTTCTCATAATTCATTTTTGCACTCACTGTTTTTTAAGCATTATTAGTTAGTTTTTAAGGATTATTTAAATAAGTGGAAAACTCTTTATTATTAATGATAAAATTATATTAATTGGTTTAGTTTTACTATAAACTTCAAGTATGTTTTTATCCAAAATTTGTTAAAATTGTCTTAAATATTTTTTAATTTGAAGGACTTATTTAAAAAATCAAACATATTTTTTTTTAATTAAAATGAGGCCAATAATAATGTTCTCACTTAAATCTGTGCATATTGTTAGAAATATATTTTTTTTCTAATTTCTAATGTTATTACGGTCATATTTAAAAATAGTTGACAAAAATGCGTCTTAAAACAATATTTTTAAATGTAAAAGACTTAAAAAATCAAGTGCACAGAAAACAAATATGTAATACATATTAATATTAAACATAAAATTACGATATTTACTAATTGAATTAGTTCGTTTACTGTTTATTGACTTCAGAAAATTATAACATTTTATTATTACTATTAATTATAATCTTTTTTAATTTAAAATACCATCATTAAAATCAATGATACATTTTGTTAAATGTAAACTATTTAATTAATGACAACAAACAGTGATTGATGGATGATCAATAAATTGGAATGATGATATTTTTTTAATATGTATATGTGTATGTATTTTTAATCCATTTTCTTTATAAATGTACTTCATTGCTAGTGAGAATTTCAATATATGTGTGGTGGTGTTGTTATATATCAAACTATTGTTTCTTAATCTTAAATATATTTCTCTTGAAATGAAATATTAATGCGAAATGAAGGACCAAATATTATTATCGACTAACAATTAAAATTGGTTGGATCGGCAACTGGCAAACCTACATTATTTTTCGAACGATTGGCATTTAAGGGATCAACAATTTTTTCATCAGATACTATTGGTATCAGTTCGATTTCTTTAGTGTTGCCCAGAAGTCGTGTCGACTGCAACATGAAACCAATGTCAGGCTTTTCATAACTACAAACGTGTTCGTCGACCATACCATTGTCTTCTTGAACTGCGCTAGTGGAAACATTAGAACGTTCACTGTGCAATAAAGGATTGAGATCAGGCTTTATAGATTTTTTTGATATTTCAGTCTTTTGTTTTTGATTTCTTAATTGTTGCTCATTAGCTTCTAGGGCTTGATCTATTGGCCCCGAACGAGAATGCAGGGGAAACATGAATTTAACGTCTAAGAACTGACACAACTCATCAATGCCATCTAATGCATTTGCAACTTCGGGAGATGATTGTTTGGACATATGATGACGTATTGTATTTAAATAGGTCTGCAATTTACTACGTGCCACAGTTATTACCGTTTGGGCATTTTTCAATTCCAAACGTACCAATTCAGGATTCTACAAAAATAAAATGAAATAAGTGAATATGAATGTAGACTACATGAAAATATTAATTTCAGTGTGTATCAAGTACATTATCCTTATAACCATCCATAGCCAAACGATTCTCTTCAGATGCCTGCTTAAGTCTTGCCATCAATGCTTCGTCCGCTGCATTGCGCGTTTGCATCAGAGTTATTTGTCTTTCCATGCGTGCAGCATTATCTCCCAAAGATGTAGATCTGATACGATTCATTTGCTCGCCATTTGAAGTTTTATTGTAGCTTTCACTATTGTCTGCCGCTTGATTTGCTCTATTTATAGATGGCATGTTGAAGTACACAAACGCGTTGGTGGGACGATCATATTTCTACTCCAAATAAATAATAAATCTTATTTAACTATAACGCGATTTTGTTAAGTTGGATCCTACCTTGGGCATTTGCATATACAAAGCATGTCTTAGTATTAAACTGATGTCGACATTAGTTGGATAACGCATCAAGTAAGTTAAGCACGTCGTATAGTCACTAAGTAATACTGAAATAAATTATGATTTACCTTAATTTTACTCAAGATGGAAAACAACATAAAATATCGATTTATTTACATTTATCTCTAATACGTATCAACATTGCCACAACTATATAATTGGGCAAATCAAAACGATCACTGTCGGCAAATATCGCATCCCACAGCACTAGTAAGTCTAATAATGCAAACTCTCGTCCAAATAACAATCTTAGCCAACGACTAAAATTAAAAAATATTGTTCAATAAACTTACCAGCCTAATTATTCATTTACTTACATTCCGAAAATATGTAATGGTATATCTAATTTCATTAGATAATTGTGCAAGTGCAAATCTTCTTTGGCTAATATTTTATCTCTTATCAAATTCAATTGGCCGACGACTTCAATTTCGGAACTGTAGTTGGGATTATTCTAAGAGAAGATAAAAAGAACACACAGATTTTGTATATACACTGCACATTATAATTGCTTTAGTACATACCTCAATCTCAGATGTGGATAATGGACTGTTGGCACCGTTTAGTTTAGTTGGTAAATTATTACTAACACGATAGTACGATTCAATTGAAGCCATTATACGGGAGAATATAAAACTAAAATGTAAAGAAATTAATATTCAACAGCACAATCCAAATATTGTTTAATTATATCAATGCTATTTACTATGAATCAGCTTCCAAATAAGAGGGATTCAAAACATTCAAAAGTGTATTACTGAAAGTAAAAAAAATACAATATACAGTATTTAGTAGAAGGCAACAGCAATTAACTGTCTTACTCAATTTCAACATCCTTGGCAATTTCTCTGAAATGTAGCAAAGACTGATGATCTCCATACATGACAAAGATAACTGGTGCCAAAATCTCATGCATACCCTGCCGATAACACATATAGGGATGTTCTCGTGCGTAATAAAATAAAATGTTGCACTAGTGAAAAATAGCTTCATATTACAACATACAACAACTGGAGTACATAATGAAAAGTTATTAACAATTACCATGGAATTCTGCACGAGCGGTTTACGAAAGAAATCTACTCCGGGGAATGTTCTTACTACATCTTGCCTGATAACGGCAAATAATTCTTGATCGCTAAAGTATTGATTCCAGACGCTCTATATTAAGGACGTAATTGTGTTGTAAATTTATATCTTATTCCAAAACTGAGTGATTTACTAACCTGCGACGACTGGGATAAAGGGTCATCATTTTCATTCGACAAATTCCCATCTAATTGGTGTGGATTTTTGGCAAACTCTTGCTTCAACTTTTCATAACTGCAAATAAAAGATTTTCCAAAACTACTATATTCATTAAGATATATGTATATTTTTTACCATTTACGTTGCTGTTCCCGCTGTAAGCACCATGTCCGATGGTCTTCATTCAAAACCCTCAAAAGCAAAGACCAGTATACACTGCGAAACTTTGAAATCTTTAAATGGCCTTCAAAGGCCAAATCTCTTATTGTTTCAGGTTTATCATCTAGAGTTTTTAGCAGCTGTAGCCATTCTTGTCTGAAATAATTGATAAAGCAAATGAAGGCGTTATTAGCAATCAATCATTTAATACTTAATGGGTATCAATAATTTCTTTATCAGTTCCATAAAAATTGTTCATGAAAATTCCTACAACTTATGTTACATACCTATAACGTTCCACAGATGTCATTGTCGTTTCAAGTGATTTTTTATCATTCAATGTTGTGCTCGTATCTTTTTCCTCCCTAACATTTGCATCCAATTTCCCAGTGTTTGGTGGCATATACAGTTTAATGGCTTCTATACCTCTAACTGTCATATTATTGCGTCATTTATTTAGATTTATTACCAACAATTTGACTTTTCAACATCGATGCAACCAAAGCTCGAAACAAAAACCTTTTTTGATGGTAATTTTTAAATGCAATTCCCTTTTTTTCTAACTTCTGTTTGTTTATCGTTTTTCTTCGAAGTAAATTTTAATAACCAAAACAACAAAGACAATAGTATTTGTCCAATTTGACAGTTGCATTCTTATTCAGTAAATAAGAATATAAAAGAAATAGAGAAGGAATAAAAAAATCTAGTGTTGCCATTTTCGCAGATTTTCAAATAGATTTTGGGGGCAAAATTAACGTTGTGTTATGTTCACATTTAAAATTTAAATTTATGTTCACGTTTATTTTTTTATAAAGAACCAAAACTGGAAAAATGCACTAAACTAAATGAAATAATTTTGTAGAACGCCTCAAAGTATTTCTGGCAACATTAAATGGAGATGCCAGATAAATACTCACATACAATCAAGCACAATCTCTGCGTTGCACAGTAGGAGAATCGTCAATCTGGTGGATCTTTAATTATATCATTGTAAATAGGGATCTGATATATTACAAATGTTCAGTGAAATTATAGCCAAGGACATGGTCTTTAAAAATTTTTTTTTGGGAAATGCCACTTTCCTACAGGGTGCGCCATAAAGTGTCGTATCGGTCACCCTCGATAGTTCATATATTTAATAGTAGTAATATATCTTTATAATTTTTGTATTCCATTCGATTTGAACACTTTTTGAAAACGATATCATTTTTAAGCCCCCTTCACACGAGCACACAAGTAATATGATCTGTCAAAATTTTGTGTAGAAGAGAACGGATGGGATCGTCTAAACGCAATATGTAATGAAACCATCACACATTTAGAGAAAATACGGATGGAAAATTTGACAGTCGTACGGCTCTCTTCATTTTTTGAAATGATTCAAAAAACAAACAAGTCGCATTAGATCAGGGATGTATTTTTATGTAAAACACATACAAAAAAAGTGAAACAGATGTTCCATCTTAATCCGAAGAAATACACCTAGGCCTCTATCGGGCCTGTTGTGCGCTTCATAACCAGTGCCTCAGGTGGGAATCGAACTCCGGTCTACCAGACTAGAACACTAACCACTAACCTACCGGAGGCCACCATTCCATCTTACTTCGTTA